TCCATTCCCTAAAACAAGTCCCATATACCAATAAATCTCAAATCCCCTAATAACAATAAATACCCGACCCTTAAAGTGAAAGTCTACCCTATACAAACCAATAAACCATCGTTAATCCCATCGTTATCCCTACAGTTCACCCATAAACCACTAAACCCGCCATTGATCGCTCGCCGAAAGTCACGTGACCGAACCGTTAACGTAATAGAGGAAGAGTAATCCCGGGTTGAGACATAGAAGAGAAGACAAGACAGACAAGAGAAGACAAATATTAGTACGAGAAGAGGTTGAAGGAAAAGACTTGAGAAAGAAGACTAGTACTTACCTACGGATAAACCACCAGCCAAATCTAACACGCCTATTTCGACTTAGCCGCCATAGGTAACGCGAGAGTTGGATTAGTATAGTGACAGACTCGCCGAATTGCGAATCACAATATGTACCCAGCCTTCCCAGTAATTATTTTATAACCTGTACCAACTTTGTAAGTCACACAGTGGCTTGAATTACTACACAAAAATTTTCAAAACATGACCAAAAGCCAATCACGGTTGAATATCAGGTGTCATGCAGAACTAACATAATACGATCAAAACAAACGATTTTTTTTTGATAAAAATCGACCATAACTCAAAAATCTGCATAAGAAACCACTTTAGTGCTTTAACAAAAAGCTTTCCTTGAGCCTAATATAAATGCTAACACTAATATTAATAAACTTTGTTACCGAAATTTTTTGAAAACACCTAAAGTTTTTCTTAATCATTTTAATCGGTTAACCGTTTAATTTTTCTGGTATTAAAATAATTCTGGCCCATGACCGGCATAAATCTGCCCAGAACCATGAAAAAATTGTTAAACAGTTAAATGGAGACACGCACTTATTTGCACGAGTAATACATTATTCTGGATCAGCTGACATGAATTCCGAACTGTTGGGTTCGGAAGATTGCGACTCTGTCGCTCCACAATTCAATATCTCACGTAACGTACGATAAGTAACCTTTTCGAAAGAGGGTGTTAGATTTGGCTAGTGGGTGATTAAGGCTTTCAGTTACTTTGGGTCAACGAATACAAGTAGGGTAAGTCACGTGAGCAAGAACTCGATCGAACAATGATGTTTATTGGGGTTTACAGGATTTATACCAGGTATAGTATTAGGGTTTTATTATGGATGATTACAATGTTTTGGAACTTGTTCATTACTAAAGCCAACGAGACATGTCGTCTCTTAGGGCCATTTTGGCCTTTATTTATAATATAAAATTTGTTGCTTACAAATGCGACTTATCCATTAAAACTAATTAAACTATTTACAAATATTTATTTAATATCTGTTATTCCCTTTCTTTATTCCTTATCTACCCCTTCGGATCTGAAATACCGTTTTCAATCTTAAATGTAACTTATTACACTTATTACATTTATTGCACTTATTGCACTTATTGCATTTCGTGCATTTTTCACGTGATTGGTCACGATATTCAGTATTACACAATTTCTGGTATTACAGAACACATGTAAAAGAAGAAAAAAGTGAAAATACACAAAAACCAATGTTTAAATCGACCTTGGTGCACCAATTAAAACTGTCAGAATAAATTTTTACTTATAGCAAACATATAGCCTCTAAAGAACAGGAGAAACCATCAATGTTATAGACTGATTCTTCACCCGGTGTGCAACTTATAAAAAACAATTTTACAATACCAGATCATTCCGCTAGTATATGTTATGATTATAATCCTACACCATTTATTATATTGTAATAAAAATGATGTGGGATTATAATCATAACATGTACTAGTTGAATGATCTGGTATTGTAAAATTGTTTTTTATATGTTGCATACTGGGTGAAGAATCAGTCTATAACATCGACGATTCCTCCTAGAAATGGGCACATGCAGGATTTTTAATATAATTCCGAAATAAGATTATTCGGCCGGCATTATCATAATATCTGGCTAGCATTAAAATAATATCTAACCTGCATTAACATAACATATTTAGCTAATTCCTAATTAAAATTTATTTATACTAGAAACAGAGTACAAAGTACATAGTGTATAATTTACAGGCAACTCAAATATGCATGTACAATTCTCAGCATATGATTGAGTAATCTGTCATCATGACTTGTGTAGCACTCTGAACAATATTTTAAAGGTAGATATCAGGAACAAATGTCTCTGTACGCAAAATATTAGGATTGATTGGTTCATGTGACTTATGCATCATTTAATATTTTTTAAAAAAACTTAAATGAGTACATACATCTGTAAAATCGAAGATGCTATAACAAATAATAGTAAAAATAAGTTTCTTTAGGCACAAAAATTAGTGTCTCAATATAAATTTAAAGGTCTCAATGCTAAATATTTGGTAATTTTCATTTTTTTTCATCGAATTTTTTATTGAGTTGATAAAATGATAATCACTGATCATCAAAAACTTAATCAAAAGAACTTGTCAATTATTTCTAAATGTAGATATATTTCACAAAGTCCCAGAATTTTGGATTAGATTCATTGGAACTGAGTAATGCTAGCTAACCAACTATATAGCAGTTAAACATTGATTTTATTAATAGTGTTAGAGGTAGAGATGAGACACTGCATAGCCTACACAGTACAATTTTCATAATTCTAACCAGCTGGCATAATTCTGTTAAGCTTTATAATCCAGGTTGATTTACCAATCAGAAATCGGTTTGGATCAGCTTAAAAAAAAATGAATCTGCATTACCTGATTAATAAAATAGGGTTTAAATCACCAGCCTAATAAATTTTGCTAACTAATAAGATTTTAAAATTAGATGTAATGTGAAAAAAGTTCAAAAAACAAAAATAAGTCAAAAATCATTCATAACTTGAATTTTGTATATGCAACTGCCTTCTGTATACTAATAAAAAGTTTTTCTTGCAACATTTTGATATAATTATAACTCTCTAAATCCAACTCATAGCAATACCCTAAACCTAACCTAAAAGTGAAATGTTCTTTTTCTTAATAAAATTTTTTAAACTAGCATTGCTAGTCTCATAATTAATAAAATCTAACGTTCATAATTCTGGTTAAATATGCATATTATTTAATCATATTTAAAGTTGATTTGTTCTAGATTTGGCCAAATGATCTGCAAAGTTGACCAGAATTATTAATTCATCAATATATAGAGAAAAAGTGGAAAAAAAATGCAAAACAACAAAAACTGACATTTAATTAATCTTGGTACATTAATTAAAAATGATGAGAGTCCAATTTTACATATATTAAGTAGATATTATATATATATATAAACATAAAACCGAGGATGGTGATCCTAGTGTAGTGGTTGAGCTGTCATTCTCCAAATGGCAGGTCTAAGATTCAAATCCTGCTTATAATGAAATTTGGAAATTATATCTGCATTATGGTAACTGTCTTCTGTTAATTGGTTGGCCTCATGTGACTGTTATCCAGATACATCAGGTTAGGTCCTTCTGACTTTGGGAGCTCAGGCATCTATGTGAAGTGTAACATTACACATACATAGAGAAATGTTAATTGGTGTTGCATAAGACTTTAGTGCAAAGTCACGATAAGACCACTGGGTGTAGAAGACTAAAAAATCGAGATGACAGAAATGCACTTGGAAATTCTCAAGTAAATAGGTAGCATGAACTTTTGATGGTACTATTGGACTGGTTAAAGCCTATGAAACACCTTCATAGGAACCAAAGATTAAAACCGAATGGCAAATATGTATAGAGGAGTACATAACCAACCAGGCTGCCAGGTTCACCGAAGGAAAAGAATACAAAAGTATATCATACTAGGTCATCTGAATTGGTAGTCTGAAATGAGACCAACGATTCTGAGTTGCAGCTATTAGGGGATGATGAGGAAGATGCTAAAAAGATGGGTACTGGAGTTCTAGTGAACTTTACAAGTGTAGAAATAGTGTAACGTAGCAGTTAAACAGGTAAGCCCTATAACTGCAAGTGTTAAGTAACTATAACATGTTGCATAAAACTAAGTCTATATATATGGGACATAAAGGCTCTAGTAAGTTTCCTATCAGGATAAGGTAGTTCTAAGGATACCAATAAGTATCAGAAACTTGGATGGGTGGCACCTTGAGATGTTCCCATAATATAAGGAGGATTGCATATGCAGAGGGTTTAAATAGGCAAAACTCCTAGTTGGCTTGCAGATATGGCAACTAATATAGAACTTATATAGTAATGTGTAAGCAGACTACTTAAATTAAGCACCAAAAGTGCATATGTGGCTTGTTGTAATCTCCAATATAAGGTGAGCTTCTGGTGGCATGCCATGTTCTAATATATTTGAATAAAAACATTGCAACTTCCAAGATAAGAACTTTAACTAAAAAAAAAAAATAAACACAAAACCTAATAAGTAAAAGGCTCTAGGGACTGAGGTTGTATAGACTATGCAGGCTGTGCAGCCTGTGCAGCCTGTGCAGTAGATTTGATTTTCTTATCTCTAGTCAAAAGTAAAACCAACACCTCATAGAACTTGTAAAATGGATGTTATTGTGGCATACTTGCCTAATTGGAGATGCTAATGATGTTCCATCTGAAACATGTGTGCCTAGTTCTAAGAAAGCCATATAACAGTACACAAGCCTCTATGCAAAACCCTACCATATTCTTCAAATAAAGAAAGGTCAACCTGAACCAATTTGTTTGCACTGAAAATAGCCATTGACTCAACCTACCCTATTTGGGTTAGATGTAAGGAGATGTCAAGAGGGGTAAATTGAAAACAATATGATAGGTTTGACTCAAGGATAGTGAAACTAAAATATTTCTTATTGGTTCTGTAAAAGCTAGAAGAAATATTAAAGTAATGAAAGGCTGTGTAAAAGAGGTAAAGGTTAGGACAAAATTGTTGAAAAGCATTGATAATAATGAAAAGAGCCATGGTCTTGTGCAGTCTTTTCTTATAGTCAATTTATTATAAAAGAGATGGAATTTTCCCCTTCTAATGATGTCTCTCAAAACTATTTGGATGTGTCAAAACTGTTTTAATAAATTTCATAGTATCAAAACTTGAAAGTATAATCAAAACTCAAAAGTGTTATCAAACTTGAAAGTGTTATTGAAACTCAAAAGTGTTATTGAAACTCAAAAATAGTATCAAAACTCAAAAGTGGTATTGAAACTCAAAAATGATATCAAAATACAAAAGTCTATTAAAAGTCAACTGTGCTTACCAAAGTTTGTATTATATTATTGATTCCAAGTTTATCAATTGTTATTTTTACTTATAATATACTAAAATATATTATAATTTTTTGTATACAGTATGTATAGTATATAATATACTTAGTATATTTACTATAAAAACCAACTTTTTAAAATTTTTTGTCTTCAGAATACTTCAGCTGATCCTTACTCATGTTTATTTATAGTTTACTACAGAACTTTTCATAATTAGAAAGAAAAAATTTTACACACAGTACATATAGTACTATATGCAGCCCATGCTAATCATCACATAGTTTGAAAGATTGCAAATAGTTTAATTTATAATAAGGATTATAAAAAGTTTACTGGAACTAGGTTTTGTATTATATAAACCTATTTTTGAGTTTTAATAAAAGTTGTTCTTCATGTCGAGATGATCCTAACAGTAATAAAATCATTTAAAACACTCAAGTAATTCACCTGAAATGGATCTTTAAAGTTTTATAACATTTGTTTATCTTTGTTATATAATCTGCAAATTATGTAAACAAATATTATAAAACTTTAAAGAGCTATTGCAGATGAACACTAGGGCATTTTAGATGATTTTATCATTATTAGAATCATTTTGACTTGAAAAATAACTTTTTTAAAACATTTCTTTCAAATTTTAATAAGATTTTTACCTTTAAATATAAATTTTGAATTTGATATAACTTTTAAATTTTGATGACTTTTGAATTTCAATTTGAGTTTCAATATGAGTTTTAAGTTCTGATACAAGTTTTGAGTTCTGATACAAGTTTTGAGTTTTGAGAAGTTTCAAAAATAAAATTTTGTCAAAACTAGTTTTAATATCAATGCTTTCGAAAGGTTCAAGTTTCGAAAGTTATCATTACCTCCTTTCAAAAGTAGATTTCAAGCCTATAGTTTAGAGTCATATAATAATATAACTCTATAATTGTATTGCTTCTACAACTAATAAAAGCTCTTTTGAACCAATACAATATGCTCTTTAAAAAAAAATTATAATACTTCTCTTGTAATGCTCTTTATCAATCATCTCAATCTTGTGCCAAATTGAAAAACTGCTTTTATATCTTTGAGAAATGTTATATAGACATAATTATTTTTTAAGTACCAATTTATTGCATTTGTTCCATCTTTGAACTTAGTCATAAAACCTGTAACAATAGGTTTTTAGGCTCAGTTATTAAAATTCAAACCAATATTTAAATTGCAAGTATTATTAACTTCTTTTATAAAGAGTCTTTTTCTTATATCAGAAATAAATTTTAATGAAGAATATAGTTTCCTGTAACTGAAATAGTATCTGCATAAATTTCTTCCATTTTTGGTTTCATGTGACAACATTGCGCAACTACTTATTTATTTGCATAGCATTTTACATATTTGTTTACTTATTGTGAGAGCTAATAACATGTTGAAATTAAGATGCTGAAACCTTATATGAGAACAAGTATGATGATCAAATCCTTGATATGGATATCCTGGCAATTAATTACATTAATGTAATTAATTAAATAAATCAAGAAAGTGAGATTAATTAGAAAAGAGTGATTTATTAAATAAATAGGTTTAAGTGAATAAAGTAAATGAATTGAATTAAAAAGTTTAATGAGATTAATGTAATTAATGAAGTTAAAATTAAATATATAATATAAATAAAGGCCAAAATGGCCCTAAGGGATGACATGTTCAGTTTATCTTATTAATAAACAAGTCCTAATATATTATATCATTAATATAAAACTCTAATACTATTATTATTATAAACCCTATAAATCCCAATAACCATTGTTATTGTTCAAGTTCTTGTTCTTATGACTTACTTAACTTATCTTCATAGACTCAAAGTAACCAAAAGCCTTAATAAACTACTAACCAAATCTAACACCCTCTTTTAAAAAGGTTACTTATTATACATTATACAAGATATTAAATTGTAAGTGACAGAGTTGTAATTATATGAACCCAACATTATATATATAATAAGAATTTACTTTCTTTGCTATTGGTATCTTTTATTTACATTACAAAAATATTCTTATGATTAAGTTACTCTTTTAAAAATAAATTACATGCATAGTAATAATAATATTTATAATTATTTTACAAAATTTTATCAAATAAAACATTTAACCAAGGATGTATTTAATGTAATTACTGCTAGTAAATCTTGCAAAAAATATATAAAAATTCATTATTTCAATTGACCAATAGCAATGATTAAAAAGTTAAACAAAATTACTCAAATTTCTAGTAAAAAAATCATAATCATCCATTAACTAAAATTAGGGTTTAAAATTTTATAGTTTAATGAATTCTGCATGGAATTTTTGAAAAAATCACAATTTGCCCATCTCTAGGTACTATATATTCTATGAAATTATATGTATTATAAATTTATAAAATGTAATTTTTAACCCTAAGTAAAATATAGTTCTGACCCAAACTTTAAACAATTAAAAAATTAAACTCCAGCCAAAATTATATATAATATGGCCAAAATTTTGTCAATCACACAGTTATTGGAAAATAAAATTGAAGTTCAACTACATGGCATCTAGATTTGATAAGTTATGCATAGGATTTTTTGAAAAACTGCAATTTGCCTATTTCTAGTTTTAAAAGTTCCAGCATTACCAACAATCAGGAACTATTAAAATTTTTTAAAAAAATTTATCTAAATGTTCTAAAATTTAAAATAATTTTTGAAATTTATCCAAATAAAAGTGAGTTTATGTGAATTTTAAAAATTGACCAATCAGAATGCAACTCAATATCATGTTATAACTGATTTCATATTCTGATTGGTAGTAATGTATCATGTTATATCATTGAACAAATTACACAATAATGACTTACAGAAAAAAAAACTTTCATACATTTGATACTGTACCTTTTTGCTTTTTGTTGAATACTTTTCTTATAACTTGGTATCTCTTTGCTTTTTTGGTAAATTTTTTTTTGTTATTACATACAAGATTAAAGACATAAACCCTAAGAATCAGATTTTTTTTTTTAGTTTTGTTTTTTTTTATCAAAAACAATGGAATCTTGCAAAGAAGTTACAATTCAAATGTGAGTACAAGAATTTAAAGAACATTTTTATATAAAAGGCAATAAATTGATGTGTTATTTTTGCCATCATAGTATTAATTGGAAGAATAAAGTTACAGTTACTATATATATCAAATCTAATAGTCACAAAGATGCATAAAAAACATCAAAATAATTATCAACTTACTTTTCAATCATCTTTAACAGTCTCTAAAGCAAAACAACAAATTATCACAAATCTGCTTAAGGTTTGTGTAAAAGCAGACATTCTTATTAAAAAGATAGATAAGTTTCAAGATTTTTTAAAAGAACATTACTGTAAAGGTGGTGCTATTTCTTCTTTCTCTGTTCTTCAGCATCAATACTTGTTAGTCATTTTTAATCAACATGTTATAGAACTTAAAGATGAGTTTTGTGAAAAATCTGTATCTATAATGTTAATAAAATCACGGATATAATAGCACATAGTATAGTTAATATGTTATTTAGTTATAGAAATAATACAAAACTTATTTCAGTAGAATTTTTAGAGCAAGTAAATAATATTACTATCAGTCAATTTATTTTTAGAATTTTGATTGAATAGTCAATTTTATTTAACTTCTATTATATTTTTGTATCTGATTTAGCACAATATATGAAAAGTGTGTAAAAGATATTTTAATTCCAATTATGCTAAAGCTTAAGCATAATACATATTGCACACATATTTTGAATTTGATACGATTAGAAAATATAAAACCAAAAGGACTTTTCAAAACTATAGTTCCAAAAAGTTATTTTGTTAAAAATTATATAATATTTTAATAATTAATAATTTTGATTATTTATTAGTCTTTTTAATTCTATTTAGTGAAGTATTTATATCTATTGATTTTTTTAATAATATTAAGAAGCTTTTTACAAATATTAAAAAAACTATAACATATTCAAAAATACAACATATTTGATATATGAACTATTTTTGATGACATGGACTTTTAGGCTATAATTTTTTTTTTTTTAAAATACCAAAGTAGAAACATTATTAAGTAATAAAAGAATTATATTAAAGATTTCTAAACTACGTTTAAGTTACTTATTTTAAGACACCCAATATAATATTACATTTTTATTTCTATATAACAATATTATTTATTATTTTAAATTAATTTTAAGTATAGAAAGGTTGAAGAAAATCTAAAGTGATAGTCTTGGTATTTAGTAAATACAGTTAGTAAGTAAATAGTTTAAGAATAGTCAGTTTTTAATAAATATAGTAGGATCAATAGTAGATATATTTGAGGTATTGAATATTGATTAAAGGATGGAAATTAAAGAGTAGATTTTTGAATGTTTGGATTTGTTAATTATATTACAAGCTTTTTTCTATTGTTGTTGAAGAATGTTATATAGTAGTCATATTTGTTGATAGAACCAATTAAGAGAAGCATTGGATAAGGTTGTAAGAAAGGATAATCTTGTTTTATAAAAGAATATTTTAATATTGTCATATAGAGATATAGAGTAGAGGTCTTGATTAAGATTTAAAAAGTAAAGATATAGTAATATATTAAAGTAGTGCAATAATGTAGTATGGATAGTATTTGTAATTTCAGCAGTGATATTTAATTGTTGAGTAATATTTGTAATTAAACTATAAAAAATTTGTTGAAGATTGAATTTTTGTTTAGAGCAAGTTAATAGATAAGGTATATCTTCAATTAATTAACAAGAAATACAATTTGAAGTAGTGTATAATAAGAGATAATGTATATTAAGATTTTGTATAGTTGATAAGTTGTTATTAATAATTTTTAGTCAAAATAAATAAAATTTTTAAACATTATTAAGTGAATTAATAATAATAAGATTGGTAAACCATTTAATTAAAAGTGGGTTTTGAAAATATTTAAGTTGTGACCAAGTAAGAAGTAATTGAATAGTTATAGTAATTTAAAAAAAAGAGTGAGTTTTAGTAGAAATTATATAATCATACAATGTAAAGTAAGAAGAAAGTATTGTTTTAAAGTTGGATATAATTTGGTATTTATTAGTACCTTGTTTGACTAAGAGATTAGCTTAATTGTGAAAAAAGTTATTAGAATGAGATTTAATTTTATAAAAAGAAATATTAAGAGATTTTGTTTTAATAAGATGATAAATAATGAATAGAATATTCTAGTTTTTTATATAAGAAAATTTATGTAATGATAGAAATAGTTGAATATTTTTAAGTACAGAAAGATTGTTCAAATGTATATTATTTTGTGAATTTATTGGTAAGATAAGAAGAAAATATATTATTGCTTTAAGTTTTGCTTAAATAGAGTTAGGATATGAAGAAATAAAATAGTTAAATTTGATTTAGATATTGTATTTAGAAATCCATCTAATTCCAATTTTAGGATGTAAAATTGAGCATTAATAATTAAGATATCTGTATAGAAATAAATATTGTTTGAAAGATTTTTTGCTAATAAAAATAATTTAATGAGTTAATTTTGGTAGTTGGAAAATAATATGTATTTTTGTATTATTTGTATTTTCATTTCAGAAATGTATATAATTGGAGTTTGAGTTAGTATAAGTGATAGAGAAGTTTGTTGTAGTATATTGATAAATGCATAAATTTTATAATTATCAATGTAAAGAGAATAGATATTATATTTTTTTGATAACTTAATATTTGAAATATTAATAAAGGTTTAAGGTATTAGCATAGGTGGATTAGTAGGAGTCAAGGATATTAAGTCATGAACAGTATTGTTAATTGAGAAGAAATTAAATGAATTCTTTGTAAAAAGAATTTGGGAATTGTTAAGAAGAATAGATCATTGATTTAATAGTAATAGATAATAAGGTGTAATTATATTAAAAAAATTAATAAAGCTATTAATATTAGGTAGGTTAAGATATGGCCATGTTTGATAAATAGTGTTATTTTGAATAAGATTACAAAATTACATAAACCAGAAAGAAATAGGTTTATGTATAGATTTCTTAGTTTATATATATATATTATTTCAAAATAAAAGATATAAGTTGTCAGTAGTTGTGATTTGTTCAATAAAGAGTATTTTATTATTACAGAAACTATTTATTAAAGAGAAAAAAATATTAAATAGAAAGATGACATATATTGTTTTTGTTATTATAAAGATGTTAGTTAGTAATAAATTTAATGAGTTATTAATTAAAAGATAAAATGTTAGAGTTATGTAAAAGTGAGAGTTAAAAAATAAAAAAAAATTTTTAGTTTTTAGTAAGAATTTAGAAGGTATATTTAGAAGAAAAAGTGGTTGTCATATTTTAGTAAGCCAGTTTTTAATTCTGACTTTACCAATATGTTTAAGAAATAAAATAGAATAGAAGATATGTTCAATTATTGATATTGTAAGTTTTTGAATAAAGTGTTAAAATATTGGAAGTTTAAAAGACAATAAGTTTGTAAGAAGAATATTAGATATATTTTTTGCTAAATGAAGCATTTTTTTTGTTATAATTGAAAGTAGTTGTAAGTTTTTGTTGTTGTGTTTTGGATATAAATAAGATTTGTAGAAGATATTCTAAAGATGATTGTAATATTATATTAAAGAGTATAGAAATTTGTTTGAATGTCAGTTTTTTATATTTAATTAATGAGAGAAAGTTTTTAATTTTGTTTTGAGCATTTCAAAAGTTGGTTTAGTAAAACCATTTTTATCAAAATAGATTCTGAAATAACATATGATTTTATGTGGTTTATATTTTTTTTATTTGAAGTTAAGGTAAGGTTTTGCTTATATCTTTATTAATTTGTTAAAAATGCCTTCAAGGGCTTCTCTGAATATAAATTACAAAATCTATTCTAATTACAAATTTGTTATGAGAATAAAGCTCAGACTATAGAAAGAAACTAACTGTTATCTATCTAATTTATCTGCAACCTAAACCTACTAGAGAGGTTAAAACTTATCTAGATTTGATAGTATAAAATATTGTTTGTAGGATAGCTATAAAGTATCCAATAATTGAGCTATAAATTAATTTTATGTAGAGCATGACCAAGTAGTAGGCAAGTATTTGGATCAATATGTTTTAAGCTTGAAAGTCCATATAAATTGCAGGTTGAACTATGTAATTGATGTCTGCTGACATAGTATATATCATTATAATTAGTTCATGTAGGTCTTCTTTGTTGGTTTTTGGTATACTGTAGAATGTTGTTATCATTTTTTTATTATGTCAAATTTATACAATATGGTTTCCATATTTGTTTATAAACTTTTTGAAACAGCTTGTATAGGAGTTTAGTAGTAATTTTTTTGCTTCAGTTTGTGATTGAGTAAATAGTCTGATTGATGAAATAAGGTTATTAGACATGTATCCTTGTAATATTGTATAAATGTTAGTTTGTTGTGGAGTTATATTGCTAAACAAAAGGCTATTGTGTTGCAAAAATATTTTTTGTAGTTCATTAATTTGAGTACTAGTAATATCAGTTATATGAGTAATTGTTTCTGTTATTGTTTTATGAATAAGATTGGTAAGAAGTGTAGTGTTTGGACAAAGAATCCAATATAGTAAGTGTTCTGGTATATAACATATGATACAGCTATTGTTATTTATTGCTTCTGGATATAAGTTGTGAAGATAAAAAAGAGTAGATAGTATGTTAAGTTGTAGTTTAATTTTAAAGGATTTACTATTGCTGAGTGTAAAGTT